ATAAACCCATTAGTCAATTAAAATTTACGTAACAGAAAGTGATTTTTATATTGCTCATATCAAGAATATGTGTCACTAAAAGGAGGAAAAATTAAAAATATATATTTTATATATTAATAGTATATTAGCTAACAAGTGCGGGGGATCGTAAATCGGCCGAGAGTGCGGAAGTTTGGCGCACGAGGCTTCGCCTCGTGCGCCAAACTTCCGCACTCTCGGGCGATTTACGACCCGCACATGTTGGCTACGATATTTTGTGACCGGTGCATGGAAAGAGCCCTTTCTAAAATCCCATCAAAGGGCGACTTTCCGCGCGCCGGTTGCACAATAACTTTTTTTCTTTCTAACTCTCTTTTTGCTGTCACTATCGTAATCAACCTTAAAAGGATTATAATATTTTATACAACAAATTAATATTATAACATTACTATTCTTATTGCTTATAACACAATATTTTTTTTTAATTAATATATTCTTATATCTAGAGAAATATTTTCTTATATCTAGAGAGAGACATGCTAAAGTCATTATATATTATATCTATCTTCACAAAAATTCTATCAATAAACGTAAAATAACTTGATACTTTTGACAAATGTAATATATCGAGTATAGTATACCTAAAAGTTACCACAAACAAATAAATCAGTATAATTTTTTTATACAATACACATTTTAAAATAATCAAAGGAATAAAAAAATATCCAAAAAAATAGACAAATTTTAGAGACTTTGGACGGTATTCATAGTCCAAGCTTAAACATCGTCTTAAGATTTTCTTGATTAAGATCGTCTTGTTTGTATAAGTATGACTTGAGACTTCATGTATTCACAGTTTTATTTAAAATGAGACGATCTTCATAAAAAAATAAGCACTTCTTTTTATTTAAGATTTTTTTACTGAAGTTAGTGCTTAAGATGATCTGATTTACTTTCAGTAATCTTCGGGATTTTTCTGATGTATCAGCCAATGAAATGTGTGTTTAAATATAGAAAAATTTAACAAGTTGTATGTCTATACCATTTATTCATGTATCAAATTATTGCAGACTCTAAAGTATTGTTAGAAAGTGACTTTTCTGTAAAAAAAAAAATGTCAAGCAAAAAACATATAGATCCCGAAAAGAATTCTTCCTTAAAATTTTAACAAAATATTCTCCTTGAAAAAAAGTGATACTACAACTTTGAAAGACAAAGAAGAAGCATGGAATCAAACTTGCGATGCATATTGTTACAAGTAAGGTAAGAAATATATTTTTTCTAATTAGGTATGTTAAATGCTAAAAATAAAAATGTTAATTATATCTGAAGAAAATCTAATATGATATTTGCGGTAGATAGTTTCATTTTTAAGCTAGATTTTAAATACTTTTTATATTCAAAGTATTTTATTTTTAACATTTTAATGTGTAATAAATTATTACAGAGAAGCGTTCAATTTAGAAAATTATGGGGTAATTTAAAATCAGTACAGAGAGATGTCCTTACGCAGGAAAAACATGCACGTTTATCAACAGGTGGTGGACCTGAACCTAAATCTGCAGAGATTGACCCGGACATTGCCGCAATAGCACCCAATTTAATGACAATTGCGCCAACATTATTTTCATCAAATTTATCAGATAAAATACTAGAAGGTAATTTCATCTTTATTTTATTTATTTATATTATAATAAAAATTGAAAAATTAGTAACAATGAATATTTTTCAGAACGACAACAAAGAATATTAATGATTGTATTCCTGAGGAATTAATTGAAAATGTGGAGAGCATAGACTTTATTGATGATAATTTCCAGGAAGTTAATAATGATTCTATTATCACACTTCATACAAATGATAAAATAATTAATTTTATTGATATTTTCTATTAACATATTTGTTTATGAATAAGAATTTAGAATTTATGACAATGACAATTGAATGTTACAGACTCAAGCAGTAATGAGACTGATAATGCTGAAAAAGAAAATAATCCAGTAAATGCAATAATTAAAAATAATAATAAAGATAAATTTTATTAATATATTTATTTTTAGACACACCCCTCTCTCTGTGTGTGTGTGTGTGTGTGTGTGTGTGTGTGTGTGTGTGTTGCGTAGTATCTTAAGCATATTAACAATTTGTATTGTACTGGTGGAATCGGCAGACCACGATTGTTAATTTTTGCTCTAATCCTTCTTCAATTTTTGGTAATATTCCTTATAGGAGGAATCCTTATTAATCTATAGCGTCTTTTAAATTGTAAATTATTATAAAAGGGTTTTAAAAAGTCCATCACGAATGTATCGTTTTCGTACACGGTCTCTCTACTTGAAAATCACGATCAATCAATATTTTCAATATCATCAATTTCTTCCATTAATTCCATAATATTTAATAATAAGCTTATCTTAAAGTCATGTACGACTGACTTGAAAACATAATCTTACTTTCTAATAAACACGATCTTATTTGATTCAAATAAGACTAGTGATGGGCAAATAATCGATTCATAATCGATTAATCGATTATCTAAAAATAAATAATCGAAAACAATCGATTAATGCAAAAAAAAACTTAATCGATGTTAATCGATTATTCAAACAATAATCGACTATTTTTTTCGTTTTTTCTTGTTCCTTTGAGAATGAGTTCAATTAAGGTGCAAATTCATGCTCACGCTCATTTTCAGCATCAAAAGACGTCACGTGATCCAAACTAACAAATTGGGATCGACTTAAATATGCGTATTGTGTGTAAGTATTTACACTGGCCAATCATATCCATTTCTCTAAAGCCCGTATCAGAAGGCCGACTGACTTTCATCTGATCAATCACATCAAAGTTCTGATAGAATTTCAGTTTGTGATTGGTCTGAACGCGGCTATTGGGCAGTAGTAGTGCTTAGTACGCGTATGACCGTATGTCATTGCAAACAAGACCAGTGACTCTATGTACTATGTACGTTGTACGTATTGCGTAGTGGCCGTAGTGCGTGTTCGCAGTGCGTAGAATATTTAGAATCAGTAATCAGTAAAGGAAACTCTAATTTATAAAGTGTGGTACGTATATATTTATTATAAACTTGTGGAACATCTCGGAATTTATATTCACGAAAATATTTTTTAATATTTAATAATAGATAACCTTCAGTCGCTGATCAACCATCTGTACCTGGATAAACATGTTGAAAAATTGGATAAAAAATAAAAAAAATAGGGGAGAGAGATTACAAAATGAAAATGATAATGAAGGTAATTCTTATTAAATTAATATAAAAATAATATAAAAATAACTTTTATTTAATTTATAATAACTAAAGTTGTTATAGTAGCATCATGCAATTATTCTTTCAATAATCATTTTTTCTTAAAATATTAGAGATAATAGAGATGTCTACTTCAGAGAGTGAAATAGAAACTTATAGAAGCCGATCAACTATATCCAGTAAAGCTTCTTTTCTTTCTCGTGTAAAACGGTAAGACATTTTTGTGCTACAGATCATTATAAAAAATATTTGTATATACACACATCTATTATCTTTGATTTACAGTTCTAAAGCATCCTTATGTTTTGGAAATGTTTCTGATAATGATAATACAGAATATTCAAAAAATTCAAAGAAAGAATTTAATACTAGGTTTGTAATTAATATTTATATTGTATAGAATGAGTTTATTTTTTTCTTATGCTGAATATTACTAATATGTAATTTTTTCTTTTGTTTTGTAAATAGCAATAAATCTGTAAATAGTGTAAATAGCAGTATAAATAGTATAAATAGTGTAAATAGCAATATAAATAGTAGCAAGCAAGAGAAAAAGTTAAAAAAACGGTACGTAAAAATCAAGAAACAATACATTATTTTTATTTACAGACCATATACAGACTATATAAAATGTGTATAATTTTATTAAATATTAAATTTTTATTTTTAAGAATGTATCGTACAAAGTCTAATGCATGGGATTTTTTTACAAAAATTGATACAACACATGCTCGATGCAATATTTGTAAGAAAATATTTAAAAATTGTGGGAATACTACTAACTTTTTGATACATATAAAGAAACAACATGAAGTCGAATTTAATAAACAATATTTAAGTGGTTCAGATTCTGAAGGATTATGTTCCGAGGATTCAAAATCAATCACCTCCACAAATGTCTGTGTTTCAGGTTAGTTAATAATAATAAGAACATTAATTATATCATATTTATCCTTCTTATATTATTTTATACTTATCTTTATTACATTATTTTTCTTTATATTGTTTGGCTGTCTTTAGGTTCTATGTCTGAAAAAAAATCATTTAAAAATCTATTCAAAAGCGTTATTCCATACGATAAAAATAGTAAAAAAAAAAAAGACTTAGATCAGAAACTCGCTATGATGGTAGCCAGAGATTTTCAGCCTTTATCTTTAGTTGAAGACGAGGGATTTCGTGAATTTATACATGCTTTAAATCCTAGATACAATATAATTTCAAGAAAATCATTAACTAACTCTATATTACCTGAATGCTATGAAATAGCAAAGAATAATTTGAAAACTTTATTAAGAGAAACTCATGCTGTTTCTTTAACAATAGATGGATGGACATCCAATGCAAATGAAAGCTATTTGGGTATTACGTGTCACTTTTTTAAAGTAACTAATTTTTTGACTTTGCATTCTACTACCTTAGATGTAATATTAATTGAAAAAGACGAGACTGCAAATAACTTAAGTCAGTTAATCAGAAACTGTTTAACTGATTGGGAAATATTTGACAAAGTGAATCATATTGTAACTGATAATGCAGCAAACATGAAGCTAACTGTTGAGTTGCTCAATAAAAAACATTTTCCATGTTTTGCACATAGTCTCAATCTCGTTTTGAAAAATGCTATTACAAAATGTAATAACAAAGAGGTTCTTTCAATTATTACAAAATGTAAAAACTTAGTCACATTTTTTCATCACAGTTCTAAGGCTAGTAGAATGTTAAAAGAAGCAAACAAAAATTTAGAGGAAGGAGAAACTGTTCCTTGTAAATTAATACAATATGTAAGTATTAAGTAATTAATTTAAAAATGTGTCAACAGATTTTATTAAATATAAAAAACAATTCTTTTTTCTATATCTTTTCTATGTTACAATATATAGATTGACACAAGATGGAATACATTATATCATATGATCAATAGTATCATTGATAATCATAATGGTATTAAATTGATTCAACTAAATGACGAGTACTCAGAACTTCCAATTTTAACAAAAGAAGAAATACAATTAACCAAGCAAATAAATATATTAGAACCTTTTGAGCAAGCAACTAAAGATATTTCTGGTATGTATATATATATATATATAATATATATTGCAAACTTTTTATCTGAATATAATATATATGAATCTTATTGAAAATGTTTTAATTTTTTAGGTGAAGATTATGTTTCTATTTCACTCGTAATTCCTTGTATAAAAGGCATAATATTAAAACTGGAAGCTATTCATAAAACATTAAGTTATCCAGCAGCACTTTCATTTTATGAAAAAATTCGACAATTTATTGACGAAAAATTAATACATTATGAACAAAGAACGATTGGCAAAGTAGCTACGTTGATTGACCCAAGATTTAAAAAATAGGATTTCGTTCACAAGCAAATTACGAAGAAGCAGTTAACATGTTACAAAATCTTCTTGCTGCTCAATTTAAAAGTTCGGATCAAATTGAAAAAAATGTTAACCTAACTCACTTTATTAATAACAAGACAAACAATTGTAGTGTTGCCAAGCCTACTGGAATCTTCAGTTTTATGGAACATTCGTCGCAATCTTCTGTAGCTAATATTGATAATATTGTTTTAACAAGAAATTATCTAACATGTGCAAATATTAATTTGTCCGAAGATCCTCTACATTATTTAAAAAATAGGCATCCAGAAATTTTTCAAATAGCCTTAAAATATTTATGTACTCCAGGCAGTTCTGTACCTGTAGAACGGTTATTCTCTACTACTGAATATATTATTTCTGAAAGAAGAAACCGATTATCTCCGAAAAATGTAAAAATCTTAAGTTTTTTGAATAAAAATTATAAACTTGTATATTAAACTATTTTAAATGCAAGTTTATAATTTTGAATAAATATTTTGAATAAATACTTTTCAAATAAAAATTTTTAAGTTGAGTTATTTAATATTTAATATTTTCATATATTTGAGTAATTTTTATTTATTTTGATATTCTTTTCCAAAAGTTGTATTAAAATAAGTGTGTTAAATAATTACTGATATAAAGAAAATAACAGAATTACACGATTATAATCGATTATTATAGTAGTCCAATCGATTCCTGTTTTTACTATAATCGATATAATCGATTTTTTGAAATGACCGATTATGCTCATCACTAAATAAGACCATCAAGATTTGATTATGAATCCGACTAAGCTTAAGAAGAGAAAAGCATCTTAAAAGACTTTGTACTTAAAGACAATCTTAAATATAAGAACGGACTATGGAATACCGTCCTTTATTTTGAAAAATGAGAATTTAAATTTAAAAAGAGATAGGCTAAAATCTTTACTTTCGAAAAAGTCACAGTTGTTTTCCGACATACTTGTTGACCAAAAATGTCTCTCCAAGTAATTTTACAATAAAATACTGCTATAAACAGAGTGTCCAATAATAATTTAATGGCACTCATTGATCGTATATATGTATACGTATATATTCACAAATATGTTTCGGCAGTGCAGCGCGTGGCCTTATATTCTCACTCAGCGGAATTCTAACTGCGAGAAAAGACGCCGCGTAGCGGCGAAGGCACGAACGAGTGCACGACTTTACGGACGGATTTCCGCGAGTGCTTTCGCGCGCAGTCTTGTCTGGCGGTGTAGTATATGTTACAAGCGTTTTACTATGAAAATATAATTGTGGCTTAAGAAGATTCTGAACGCCTTTGAGAAGTCTGTTGTTTTTTTCCTGTTTTATTGTCAAAATGTGATGTTAGATAAACTATAAATCTATTTATTGGCTATACGGATTGCTTTTTACCTAAAATTAGACCAGACTGGATTTCACATTGGATAAAAGAATATAAGTGAATGTTTAGATATCAATTTGGAAGCCTAGTAAACGAGAGTAGTTCATTCTACATTTTCATGTGTACACAAAAATGTAGGATGAGTTATTCTCATTTACTTTATAATCTCATTGCTTTATAATCGTTACTATATTTGCAAAATATAATTTATATATATAAATTATATTATAGAAATATATGTATTTATATTAAATTTTTTATTTGCTATTATACTTAAGTAATAACTCACTTAATAAAGTAATAACAAATAAAAAAAAGTATAATTTAATTTTATTATTATTCGACACATTTGGATAAAAAATGAGAAATTCTAGAACAAAGGAACATTTTACTTACAGACAAGTGACGCAGTTTACTAAACTTATATTTTATTAACGCTCGTATTTTCATTTTGATAATAATTATTTCTAATTTGATAATAGATTTGTAATTAGCAGAGAAGTGCGTATATAAGTACAAATATGTTAGAAGAAATTCTGCTCGAAATTCACAGTACAAATACTCTTCTTTCTTCTGCTAGCAAAGGAAATGTTATCACTTTATCTTCTTATTTATACTCCACATTTTACATGGTAATTTTTTAAATCAAGAATTTAATATATTTGATAAATTAACAAATATTCTTAGAAAACTTGACTTCGACGTAACTAGCAAATTTTATTTAATTATTTCACGACGTTTCGACCATTTGGTTGTGGTCCTTTTCAAGTGAAATTTCTACAACATAATATTACACAATAGTTTTTAACATACGAGAACTCATTTAAGTGTTAAATTATTAAAATAAATATAAATTTTATAAACATACCCATCAATTAAACCGAGGTTAACGTAACATCACACTGGTGTTATTTAAAATCGAAAGTTAAAAGTTAAAAGAGGAACACGTCCCATCGTTATGATGTTGAAAGTTAAAAGTTAAAAGAGGAACACGTCCCATCGTTATGATGTTTCGTCAACGACTAAATTTGAAACGCGCCACTAAACAATCTTTATTATTTTGTCGTAAATGTTTGTCAAATTCTCGGTGTCTTTCTGTAGGTTAACTGTATTGTCATGCTTCTTTATGAAGAACATTTCAGCAATCTCTCTCTTTCTTACATGTTTCTCGTTATGTAAAATGGTCGGTGATTTCCAATCAACGTTATGCCCAAAATCACATCTGTGTTTGCTTAAAACCGAATGATTAGACTCATGTAATTTAATATTGCTGGCATGTTCCTTCACTCTAGTGCATAAATGTCTTTTCGTTTGTCCAATGTATGATGCATTACAATTTTCACAATTAATCTTGTATACTACATTCGTTTTAATATCATTAGTTATTAAATCTTTACCTCGTTTTATCAGCCTATTTAACTTTTTTGGCAAACTATAAACGACATTTATGTTAGCATTTTTAAGTGACCTTTTAATACTGTCGCTAACATCTTTAACGTATGGGAGTGGAATTACATAATTCTTATCTTGAGCCGAATTCACATTAACGTTATTATCTAAATCATTACTCAAACTGTCGTTATTATCCGCATTGTGACCGTTAACATTCCTGTTGTTATTCAGTACATTAATTCTTTTATTTACATACTTATTAATAATATGATCCGGAAAACAATTATTAATTAAAATGTTCTTTACAATCTCAATATTCGTATTATGAAATTGTTCGTTAGAAAGTAAAATTGCATGGTCTACTAAATTGTAAATCGCATTAATTTTGTACTTAATAGGATGACTCGAAAGAAAATTGATGTATCTGTCAGAACATGTAGATTTCCTAAACCAATTAGTTGTCAATTTATTCCCATTGCGGATAACTGTAGAATTTAAAAAATTAATAGAAGAATTGGTCTCTATTTCATGTGTAAATTTTAAACGTTCATGATAATTATTAAATGTACTTAAAATTTCATTTATTTTAGAACTAGGTAAAATAACAAAAATGTCGTCCACATATCTATAAAAAGTCTGAACTTTAAAACTTAAAGAATTTAAACAATTTGTTTCCAAGTCATCCATTACCAAGTCAGCTAATATCGGTGATAGAGGGGATCCCATAGGGCTTCATAGTACTGCTCATTAAATTGAAAACTAGTTGAAGTAAGTATTACATCAATAGCGTATAGAAACTGTTGCAAATTAAATTTAGTTTTTAGACTTATGTCACTCCAACGACTTTCAATTGCAGAAAAAACTAAATTTTTTGGCATATTTGTAAACAACGAACAAACATCTAAGGAAATCATTACGTCATCGTCATTAACCCTTGTATTTTTAATAGTATTCACAAACGTCCAACCATCTTTAACATTTGAATCCGGGACTGCCTAACGATGACACAATGATTTTCAATGGATACCCGCTCTTATAGATCTTTGGGAGCCCATAACACCGTGGTAAATTACCATTTGTGCAATTCAGAAATTTATATGTTTGATCATCAATGATCTCATTATTATGCCATGACTTTACTAACGTATGAAGTTTGTTCGTCAGACGTGTAATCGGATTTTTATTTAATTTTTTGTATGTCATCGAATCACTTAACAATAATTCCATATTAGTCACGTAATCATTTCTATTCATAACTGTCTATTCATCACTGTCACTTGTCCTTTGTCAGCTTTGGTAACAATCAAATCGTTATTATTCTGCAAATATTTATTAGAAATAGTAAACGCATTCTGAATAAATCTGTCACTATAATTGATATGTTTACTTTTAGATAGAAATTTTTGTAGTGAATTGGCAATGGATATTCTAGTTGTTTCCAAAGCATCCTCAGGAACATAACGACAATTCGATTCAAAATTCTTTATCACTTCAACGGTATAATTTAGTCGGTCGTTCTTATTTGAGCAATGAATCGGCAAGGCAAACGTGTCGCCTAAACTTAAGAGTTTAGATACAGTATCAGGTAACAAATATTGTTTGTAAACAAATCAATTATAAATTTCCAAAAGTTATTGCATGTTTAGTTCAAACTCGAACATATAAAATTACGGAATATTGAAAAAGATATATTGAGATAAATAATTATAATATAATAAGAAAATATATAAATTAAGTAACAAAAAGCAAAAATTATAAATAGTGTAAAGTTTAATAATTTTATAGTTTAATATTTTAATAGTTTAATCATTTATATATATAAGTTTAATAGTATATAATTAGTATATTATATGTATATACATATATACATATATGTAGTATAATTAAAATAATTTATATAATAAATTTAGTAATTTAATATATATATTTTATAAATTAAACTTCGGCTCGTATACAATTAAAATATGTGATAATAAAAGGCCAACTTAACGAGCTTATAACATATTAATTAAAAAATTTTTTATTATTAATTTACGTCATAATATACAAAAGATAAGATAAACGTTTCGACTGTACGACAGTCTTTTTCAATATCATGCTAATATGTCAAAAAATTAATTTAGTCATATCGACCTTATTATAAATACAACATTTTTGAGATTATCATATGACGAACGTAGTACAAAATTCATGTTTG